CTCACCCTTCGGTTCCCTTGACGACAGAGACACAACCCCCCCCCCCACTGCCTGAGCCAGCTCAGAAAGGAAGGTGGGAGTCACGACGGTTGCCATTAACCGGACCGGGCGCGGGAGCCTTTTGGTGGCGACGCTGGTCATGGCGACCACTGCCCACTGCCACCACCCTGAGGCAGAAGGAGGAGGAGGAGGTGGAGAGCAGCCGACTACCAAAGCCTCCCCGACCCACCGCGCCCCCAAGTCCTCGTCCCCCTCCTCTCACCATTCGAAATGTACACCATTTCGCCGCCTCGGCCCCAGCGAGCGCCGTGACAAGCCGGATCCAGATCCCTCCACCGCCCTCTCTTGCTCCGCCCCCTTCACAGAGGAAGTGGGAGCTGGGGAAGCCTGATAGGCTCTACCCACCCGGGGTGGGCTGTTGCGTCACTACTTCCCTTTTCCCGTCCGGGTCCCGCCCCCTCTTGTCCCTCCCCCCCCCGACTAGTTCGGAAGCTCAACGGGCCTCCGGACCATAGAGATAAGAAAAAGGAGAAGAGTCTCCCATCAGGGAACGTTGGGAGAAGCCGTGTTCACCTGTGCTAACATATCAGACAAAAGGAAAAATAAAGAACACAAAAGCGATGTGGCACCTTAAAGTTTAACTGCTGTATTTTTGGGCTTTGGGGGCGGGGGAATAGCAGATAATCTTTAAGGTACTACAACGTTTTTGTCTTTATTTTTTCTTTTGTTTTTGTCTGATTTAGACATCTTCCCCCTCCCACCCCACCGCTCTCCCTGAGAAAGGAAGCATGAGCTGCGTGTATAGAAAACAATAAATACAGTATTTTCCTCCACACCCTTTTCCTGTTTGGGCAGCAGCATGCCCACTTTGAAGAGAAAAAACATAAGCAGAACCAGTGTTCAGGTTCTAAATTTGGCCTTTCCTGCAGATAAGTCTTTCCAAAAACATTAAAAATGAGCCGTGCTAATGCTGAAGCAACTCACTCGCTGCTATCTTTCGCAGGAAGAGAGGTCGCTGTGGCTGATTTAGGAGGTGTCTACCCCAGCCCTGCAATGCAGCTTGCTGGAAATTCATAATATTGCAGGGCAGAGGTGGGACGGAAGCTGCTTTGAAATCCCTCATATCTTTATGATTACAGCTAAAGTAAATCAGCATAAATTGTGACCCCGACACCTTCCCTCAGACCTCCTAATCTCGGGCACCGTTGGGTACGGAAGTCCCATGGGTGTGCCTTTGACTTGCATGCAGACGGTGGTGCTTAAAATGTTTTGAAAGAGATATGAAAATGTAGACGTTAAATGACAGGTCTTTGCCTAGTGTGAGTTGTGAGTTCACTCTTGGCAGCATCATAGCAAGATTTTAGACACTGCCTTTCTGTAAACACATAGGAGGCCCTTATTATGGGGATACAATTGAAACAAGAGTTAATCTCTAGAAGCTCTTGAAAGACACGAATTTCATCCTTTTTCATGGAGTCTTGTGGCTCCGTTAAGACTTAACATTTATTTTAGTGCCAGCTTTTCTTGGTTGCAGACAGTTTGTAATTTATGATCTTGCACATGGGACCCAGCCTCCAGAACTTGGAGGCTGTTTCTTTTGTCTTTCCACTAAGCAAATGTGAAAACTATGGGAATGTCCAATATGGGAATGTCCAAGAGAGTGCTGTCCTCTGAAGATGCCGGCCACAGAGACTGGTGAAACATTAGGAAGAACAACCTTCAGAACACGGCCAAAGAGCCCGAAAAATCCACAACAACCATTTCATATCTCTTTCAAAATATTTGAAACACAACACTCTGCATGCAAGTCAAAGATAGATACATCAATGTCACTTCCCTAGGCTTATCAGTCAAGGCTAGAATTAGTCATTAACTAAGATATTTAATGGATGCTCATTTGGAGATACTACTTATCATTTATGAGTTTACAAGAAAAACAAAACAGCCGGACAGCATCCTATGCAGAAATATTTATGATCCACAGGACAAAACTTTTATTTCACTCTTGTAAGCAGCCTGGTTGGCAAGCAGCCTGAGTGTAAGAGATATTTAAATAACTATTGACATATCACCGAGGTCATAATGAGAAAAGGTGTCACATGACCTCTGAGGTCACATGATTGCTGGAGCAACAGTGCTCTAAGTTCTTGACAGTTGGCCTTTGCCCACTTGCTGCTTTCCTGCCTCAACAGCCATTGGGAGCAGAGGAGTGAGTTAGAGAGACCTTGCTTTTCAAAATTACTTACATTTACCTTTCATCTGGGTTTAACCATGAACTTTCTCAGCCATTCAGGTTCATAGTTTATAGAGATGTACTCTGTAACAGGATTGCTTCCTGTTTTGTCTATAGCTCTGGAAACTACATTAAGGTTTTGCCTGGATAGTGTAGGTTTAAGATGGTGAGGTCTGGTAGGGCAGTTTATGTGGTACTTTTGAGAGGTTGCTGTTGTTTTTTAATGGAGATAAATGGGTTTGTTAGGGGGCAGCCAGATGTAAGTTGGATTTCAATAACAGACTTCTCACACAGATGGGAAAGAGTAACATTTGTGGGGCTTCTTTTCTGAGTGCCCCCCTTCTGATACAGCCGTGGGTGTAGTTGTTGGAAATGAAACTCTTTGTGCCCACTCTTCGTGTAGGGTTGCTAGATACATGTATATGAAAAGGAGGACATAGAAAGCCAAAAAGGAGGACAAAGGAGGACATATGGGGGGGCCCTCTGTGCACAATCTGGGGTCACTTTTGGAATTAAGTATTGGGGAGAATAGCTCTTTGATCATTGGGCAATACCATAACCATTCGACCTACTCAGTATTGAAAGGTCAAGACTGGGAAAGTTACAATTTTTGGACTACAAAACTCAGAATCCACTGGCCACTGTGTTTTATTGTTTTAAAAAATGTTTACAAAATAAAAACAAAACAAATCAACATATATACTTCCTGGGCTCCCAGTACCAATAGAGACAATCTATTCCTTCCTTTAATGGAGAACCATCCTCTTTGTTTTACTGATTTTTTTTAATTTTAATAAAAGCATAATAAAGTGAAATAAAAAGTTTAAAAAGTTGTGTGACAGATTTGAAACACTTTATAAAAACCAGGAAAAAAACAGAAGGTGTGGATTTCTCTCAGCTTGAGAAATGCATAGGGGGGAGAAAATAGATTTGCAGACACACAAAACACACACAAAGCCATTTTCTCCACCGTTTGCAATTTCTCAAGCTGATATAAATCTGCTTTTGTGTGTGTGTGTGTGTGTGTGTGTGTGTTCCAGCTCCCACAAGCATAGTGGATAACTCTGCATATGCTCCTGGATCAGGAAACACACTTTGCACATGCCCCGGACATTTTGAAGTTTTTTAGTCTTGCCTGCCGGACAGAGGACACGCTCCTGAAAAGTAGGACATGTTCTCCTTTTGCCGGACATCTGGCAGCCCTAATTATACCTGCAAATAGATAGACCTGCAAGTGATTTTAACTCCTCTAGAATAACTTGTTACAGGCACTTTAAGTTTTATTGGTAGGGGGATTAAAGATTTAATAGGTTGCAGAATTAGCTAATAAATTAACAAACAAGTGAATAATTAACATGGAAGAAATCTGATCATCTTATTCAAATGTTACTGTGCTAGTGCTACTACTAATGTATCAAAGCCCTGGTTCACACTAAAAGCCATCAGGACTGCCATGTAGAAGCCTTTCTGCCCATATTAAAATATATATCTAAGATTTTGCACTCTTGTGGATATTCCCGCCATGAATGAAGGCAGAGTAAGAAATAAATTTACCCGACTGCCAATTATATACTTTAGGACAGAGGATGCAAAACGGTGGCGCACCACTCAGGGGTGGGTCAGTAAGATTTTTTCAAGTGGCCTGTGTAAAGGGTATTCTACTATGAAGAATATCTGACTGCATTTACTCACCCGTAAATGTAGTCAAGGTCAGGACAAGATGATCAAACAGGCTAACAAGGAATTGGCTTTGAGCCATTCTTTTTAAGAATACAAAACTGACTGAATTATTAATTTCCCCCTCAAATCTTAACAATCTAAAGGAGTCCATCTCAGAGGCTTAGATTAGGATCCACAGTTTTTATAACCTGGTACTTGTTTTGGCAATGCTGCCACTGCTAAGGAAAACTGTTATGACAATATGGGTTCTGTACGTAAGCAGTCCATAGAACAAAAACAATCTGCCAAGACTATCAGCAGCACTCAGACGATGCACATACAAAGGGGAAGTGCAGGGGGAGAGACCTCACAGGAATATAGTCCCCTTCTGCAACTAGAAGCCTTGGATGTCAGCGCCTGACCCAAAGGACTCCCAGTCTGAGCCTAGTAATATGTGACACCTTCTCAAGGAAGTGTTTTTAAAAAGCGGCAGATTCACTCAGCTGGATGTTATTAAAATGGCTGAAGGAGATGTGCCATGGCTATAAGTCAGTACATCAAGAATGGGGAGGGCAGTTGTATGGCCCTCCAGATGTGATTAGACTGAAACACCCGACAACTGTAGCCAATATAAGGGATGATGGGAACTGTAGTCCAATATCATCTGAAGACTATTCTTCCCACAGAATAAACTATGCCTGACTGAATTTAACTGATTTCAAGAGGCTTAGAAAACAACCCTATAAACCCTTCCTCAGAAATATGCCACCCACTTTCAATGAGATTTACTTCCAAATACATGCACGCTGGATTGTAAGCTCACCTTCTACTTAGAATCATAGAATTAAAGAATGGGAAGAGACCCATTGGTCATTGAGTCCAGCTCCCTACAGAAGCAGGAAATCCACTGTAAAAGCAGTGCTGAGATTTGACCTGTCTATTGTGACCTCTCTCAATTGCATTCCCTCCTTATACAGGCCAAGACACCAACGAGGTAAGAAATCCAACCTAATTTTGGTTTATTCCTTTTTAATCGCCTTCCCTCCTTATACAGGCCAAGGCAGACACCAGGTAAAAGATCAAAACTAATTTTGGTTTATTTCTTCCTTTTTAACTGCCTTCCCTCCTTATACAGGCCAAGACTCCAACCAGGTAAGAGATCAAATTGGTTTATTTCTTCCTTTTTAACTGCCTTCCCTCCTTATATAGGCCAAGACACCAACCAGGTAAGAGATCAAAACTAATTTTGGTTTATTCCTTTTAAACTGCCTTCCCTCCTTATACAGGCCAAGACACCAACCAGGTAAGAGATCAAACCTAATTTTGGTTTATTCCTTTTTAACTGCCTTCCCTCCTTATACAGGTAAAGACGCCGACCAAGTAAGATATCAAAACTGGGTTTGGTTTATTTTTTCAAGTTTTACTACCTTCCCTCCTGTGCTGTGATGTTTTTGTGTTTTGGTGTGTTTTTCCCCCAG